AACGGGGCGGCAGCATTGGAGCCGGCAACACAGCGGGCAGCACCATGGGAGGCGACATGTCAGGGGGCAACACCACAGGGGGCCCCCGCCGGAACAACATCCACAGGTCCGGGCACCGGCACAGAACTCCCATGGCGGACATCCTTTTTCAGGACCACCACAAGGCCCCAGCTCGCACCAGCATCCTCATCATCCACCACAGGAGGAGGGACCACCCCCCACTGCAGAGATCTCCCTGCAGGAGAAAAAAAAACAGAGGTTAACTTGGAGACATTTCTACCGGCAGCAGCAGCAGGCATATGAACCTCCGCAAAAACCTGTACCTGTTGTACAGGTTCAAATACCTCCAAGTTTCTCACAGATTAAGGAGCAAATCAAGGAAAAAATATTCTCAACCATCAAAAGTCGCCACAGAGCCAAATTAGCGGAAGGAAGATCCACTGCGATATGGTATGAACAAGCCATTGGTTACTCCTCTTTCAAGACTGGCAAAAAGATATCCAAAGACAGTGCAGTAGCCATACACAGACTCAACTTGGTTACAAGTGCTGCTGGGAGGTAATCGATCCCAATAGTTAAAGAGTGTCACATCTGTGAAACAGAAGCAGAGGCGCCAATATTGTACTACTTATACTGGTAAACAATTTCGTTGTATGGGAACATAAAAGGATGATATATAGAAGCCATATATTTTGTGTTTTCAGAATAATAAATGACTGTTAACGAAAATAAATATAAAAGGTCATATACAGGCAATACTATTAATTATAAGACAAATACAGAGCAATTCATAACGTTACCATAGTTACCCATGAACTATATTGAACAATGTTTTCTGTTTTATAATAAATAATCCGTTTTCTATCTTTTCTGATACTCGTGTTTGCTAAGACTGACTCTCTTGGTACTTTATATTTAGATTTATAATTTGTACCAAGAGAGAGACAACAACGGCACTTTCCTGCATCGTGGGATTTTACATCCTTCCCAATTTTAATCCCTCCCTTTCAACCCAAGAAGAAAATCAGAGAACAGCCTAAGCTTCATCTTAAGGCAAAGCTCAACGCCTTAAGCCATATTGATGCTCTGTCCACAGAGCATTCTCTCTCTCAAGTCATATACACTGATGGTTCCCTACACCGCCCCACGGGTGCAGCTGGAAGTGCAGTTGTCCTGACAATGGGCGATGGTTTATATTTGGAGTGGGGAGTCCGTATATACAACTGGGCCTCTACCCTTTATACCGAACTATTTGCCTTGATTCTTGCACTGAAATGTGTACAATTAAGTCTCCAAACTTCATACATTAATTGTAAGTGACTTTATCATCTTTAATTGCTCTCAACTCTTTTAGACATAACTGTAACATGCTCGTGTCTGAAGCTAGACACAAATACAACACAATTATTAATGATTATTCCATATATAAGGGAATATACTGAGTTTGGGACTGTGGACAGGATAACTGAACTTCGACTTAGTAATTATATATCGTCCACACAAGCTGAACTGCGGCCATTCTGGCGTGTTTGGAGGAAGTATGTCATGACGACAAAGATGTTTTTGTATATGTTGATGGCCGAGGAGCACTTGAATCCTTAAACAGTCGAAATCAAGTCTTCATGTCCATAGTTGAGGATTGTAAGCAAAGGATAACTGAGATACAGCTGAAAGGTCACAATGTGAAATTCATGTGGATTCCATCTCATGTTGGAATAGTGCTCAACGAGGTGGTGGATGACTTGGCCAAACGTGCCACATCAAAACCACAAGTTGACATCGAATGCGAATTCACAATGAGACAAATAAGAAGCAAAATCAGAAATATTCAGGCACAGGCAGAAGTGGAGAGGAGAGGTATAATGTATGAGGGAAGTTAAACCATGCAACACTACTTGTATGTGAGTCAAAACACCCATTTCACTTATGGTAAAAGGAGAAGTGCTTTGAGTGACTCTGTGCACATGCGGCTCAGGCTTGGGTACAAATATTACTGGGAATATGGGATAGGTGTTCATGATAATGACACGAAGTGTAAACTATGTAGTATGTTGAGGTCTCACACCCTAGCCCATTATGTTCTTGATTGTCCTTTGATTAATGTATATAGAAACACTGAGATAAGGACTGTTCCTGAACAAATAGTCTGGATGTGTCACAACGGAAAGGTTGATGATATTCTTGACAGAAATAAGAATTTTGCACCAAGACTGTAATCTTTTGTTGAATTATCTGCATGTCTCTTGCAAATTGTCTATACAGTATACCTAAGTCATAAAAGTATTTGTGTGTATGTCTGATACCATACTACTTGTGTAAAGGAGGAAATCTATATGTTTATCTCTCAGAATGTTCGGTAATATGTTTATTGTTTGTGATGTGTGTCTGTGTATATATTAACACGCTGTACTGAACGGGGTGAGAATAGCTTGAGCTACCTCATCCCTTTGTGTGCATTTTATCTCAATAAACTTATTTCAATTTCAATTCCAGAATGTGGAATAACCTCCCCAATCATGTCAAAGGCTGTACCTCTCTCGACCAGTTTAAGAGTAAAACTATGCACTACGTAATTAACTCCATGTAACCTACCTTACCCCCCTAAATGTCAACCCATGTCTTGCTATTTTAAACAATGCTGTTTGCTGACTAACTTGTACAATGGCTAATTTCTGCCCCCCCCATTTTTTCCATTCCCTTTTTTTTAACACAATTTATACTTTAATCTCATTTACTATTAAGTTTTAGTCCAAGTGTCTTCCTCCCCCCCTCCCACACCTTGCCCGAAACACTATGTGTATTAGTGGCTTTAGGTATTGTATGTACTAGCTCTATCTATAAATCCAACATTATGTTTGGAACTCTTCATGAATGCATGTACTTTTACCTGAATAAAAATTTGAATTTTGATTTTTTTTTAATTTGATGGGAACAGAGTCCATTTCATGTGGACTCCATCTCATGTTGGCCTCCGAATGTGTGATAGAGCTGATGAGTTAGTCAAAGACTCTGCCTTTAAAGGAGAAATTTAGTATAACTTTGGATTGTCAATAAGCAATCTGAGAGCAATAGTACATCAAGAATTTCAACAAAATCTTGCAGATCTGAGGCAAAGTGAAATCGACACCAATAATTCCACTATCATACAAGAAGAGCCACACATCTTTCGATCATCCAATAAAATCAGCAGACTTCTAGATGTTACTACTGCTCGGCTTAGACTCAGTTACAAATATCTCTGGGAATTTTTATTATCTCATTTTGTATGTAAGTGCTTTACCTGAATAACCATTATTATTAGAAGTAGTAGTATGTTGTTGTTGTTGTTTAAGATTCGCTACTTGGAACAAAAAGCTCCAAGTAGCACGGGCTATGGTGAGCCCGTAGTGGTTATATTATATATTAGTAGTAGTATTTGTATTATTATATAAGACCGTTTCTGTCCGAAACGCTATGCGTGATGGTGGCTTTGCAAGAATGTAAGAACACCAATGTTATGTACTCTCACAAACCCAATGTACTTCTTGTATATAAAAAAAATAAAAAGGGGAGAGGAGGAGGAGGAGGTGAGCCGGGTAACATAACCAAGGAGAGCGAGGTGATCCAGCTGATTCAGGTACCTGGGAAGTCCCTTCAAGGTCTTCACTAACACTGGCCAAATGATCTTGGGCCAGATTCACGAAAGCACTTACGCAAGCACTTACGAACCTGTACATCTTTTCTCAATCTTTGGCGGCTTTGTTTACAATTATTAAACATTTAATGAGCTCCGAAGCACCAGGAGGCTGTTTATAACAATAACAACAGTTGAATGGGAAGTTTTCATGCTTGTAAACTGTTTAATCAATGTTACCAAAGCCGTCAAAGATTGAGGAAAGATGTACACGTTCGTAAGTGCATGCGTAAGTGCTTTCGTGAATCTGGCCCCTGATCTTTATGGCCGCACTTCTCAACCTGTGCCTCCGTCTCGTAACACCTTGCACCATATTCTCGGTGAATTATTCCTCCTAGACACTCGTATATGCAACACTAGCAGCAATATTTGTGTAACTTCAGGGCTTTGGTTTAACAAAACAACTCCCTGGAGAGTAACTTAACTTCGAGAAATAATAAAAACAAATTCTAATTGTTTCCGACCAAAACACTCACGCATTAGGTAAGTTTAGGTTGATCAGGCTGGACAATTTCCATTTCCAGAAGTAAACATAGACGATCCGGTAGAGTTGGCGCCACTGCACGTGACGTCATAAGTACCGTACGATCAGTCTACCCCGTTATGTAATGTTTTTTTTTGCCTCCAGTTCCGGGCTGAACGCTGATACCGCGTTACAAAATAACGCAGCGGTGAAGCCTAGCGAACAGCGATACCCTCACCGAGCTTCGTTTGTACCTGCCTAACATACACAGTATGCCGACTGGTCTCAGGTAAATTAAGATGTTGGCGAATATTGACTCAAGGCCTGTAAGGGCGCAATCTTGCTGAAGTGTGACACTTCAGTTAAGGATAACAGGTGGGAAAGTGTGATAGGCTGGGAGGGTGGGAGTGATAGACAGGGAGGGTAAGGGTGTGGTAGGCAGGGGTTAATAGACAGGGAGGGTAAGGGTGTGGTAGGCAGGGGTTAATAGACAGGGAGGGTAAGGGTGTGGTAGGCAGGGGTTAATAGACAGGGAGGGTAAGGGTGTGGTAGGCAGGGGTTAATAGACAGGGAGGGTAAGGGTGTGGTAGGCAAGGGGTAATAGACAGGGAGGATGGGGTGAGCAACGGGCTGATATGTAAACAGTTTTCCCAGGGAAACTTTAGGTCCACTCCTGGCCCAACATTATGGTGGTAAAGTAGTTAATTGTTGTAATTATTGTTGACAACAATATGATGTAACTTATTTTGTGTTTATCGAGTTGTAGTTGTCGTGTTCAGTGTTCATCAAGTTGCATTTGTACTATTGGCTAAGTATTGGCTCATGATCACAGGTTTTCAGGGATTATTGAAAAAAACCATTATATATAAAATGTGTTTAAATACCTTTATTAGTTATTAATCAGTTACACGAATACATGGATGTTTGATGGATGTACAAGGAACACACATTTGTCACAGTGAATGGCATTGTGTGTATATATATATATATATATATATATATATATATATATATATATATATATATATATATATATATACTAACATAAATGATTCACAGAGATCTGCATAACTAAGGCTAAACTCTTAAATTTCTGGAGACAAAAGATTTGCTTTTAATAGTTGAAGATAGATGAAAAAAACTGGAACATATACATGATAAATAAACAACATTAGCCAAATTACAAAAAAATGTCTGCCACCAAGGAAGCCCCCATAGAAGACTTTTTTAAAAGGTGCTGAATTCCCGTCCATAAATCAACAAAAGGACAGTAAAGGTGTTCACGTCCCAAGCCACATCACAGGGTCGACCTCATCACAGTCCGTCAGTTCCCTCTGGCGGTGTGTGTGGTATTAGTGCTCTGAGTGGGGGAGGAGGTACTTGTTAAAATTATCCTTTTTCTAGATATTAAATTAGGTTATATGTTTATCTATAGTCTCACTGGAGAGTATTACGTTATGAAGATTATTAGCATAAATAATCGACATCATTTGAATAAATTTTGATTGCAATGTAACTTATACGTTGAATTATTAATTACATATCTATTATACTTTATGATAAAGTTACTGTTAGGCAAAGTTTGAATTTAGATATGACAAGAGGAACTAAATCAATTAATTATTTATATACCAACCAATAACTTTCGATTTGGCTCAATAACTGAATAATCGGCAAGAGTGAAAACCCGATAAATGCCAGAACTTACCATCTTATTGGACGCCAAGTTTGGCCCGACACGTGTCAAACAGTGTGGCGAATTCCCCTGAGAGGGAGCCGTAGCAGCCGTTCCTGCCCAGCTTGTGAATCAGGGCGTAGTCCTGACAGTTGATCACACCGTCCCTGTTGCAGTCCTGCAGTACCAAACACATGGGGGGGGTAAGGTTGATTCTTATCCTGGATATGTATACCCCCCAAAAAATAGGTGCACACCCGTTTCTCGATATACATATTCTCGAGACTATGCTTTACCTCTGGACTAAGTAGCAGAAGTAGAGTATATACTTGCTGGTTGGTCACTAGGCACTTCTGATGGCTTTAATAGCTCTCCAGAGTATGATAGGACATATTCCCAACATCTAACATTATTACACCAACTTTTTACATGAACACATGATCGTACGTAGCTTAATGCATTCGGATTATTCCATATTTATCAGAGAAACTGTGTTATTGGGATGGTAATTTAGATGTACATAGTCATTTAAGTCTGTCCAGTCGCTGTTGTCTCTTCTTACCTGAGCAAAATTCTGCATGTAGCGACGGACGGTCTCAGCCGCGCACACCGGGTTGTTGGTACAATCTGAATACGCTGCAAGACCAAAAAATGTGTCACTAGTCATACATAAATCAGCATTCAGAAACCAACTTTACTTTATTATATAAACTTATAAGGAAAGATGAAGATTTCAGTTGAATACTGACTTGTCAGTATAATACCGAGCATACATATACATTCATACTATCTGGATAGTATTCATCAGATAGTTACTCACCTCTCCACTTGTCGGGATAAAACCGGACATTCAAACACCTTCCCTTGACTGGATAATACCAAATGCTCACCGGTCTGGCTGTTGGGATCGGCGTTATTGAGGGTGGGTTGACCAGCTTCCTTCCAGTAGGCCCAGGAGATGAGGAAAATGCCGCAGTAGCCGTTGGGGCAGTCAAGCCGGTTCTGACACTTCGTAGAGGCCTCGCACAGACATCCTAGGCAATTTTCATCTACTCCGGTATACTGCTGACCTGTGAGGGGTGATAATACAAATGTTTTTTTTAATTGCTGTAATTTGCATATAGTTTAATATCAATTTAATAAGCCCAAAGCATTTAATATTAACGACAAGTTTCTATATCATCTGTAGTCATGAGTTTGCATGGGGATGCAGTACCCAGGCGGACTGGTACAGTCTGCCCTCAAGTTCATCTGGGTTGGAATGTTGGAGACCTTGAAGCGTGCCTCCAGACTCTGAGACTAGTCTTCTTACCTCTAATTTACTTAGGGTAATGAACGCAATTGTCTTATAGTCAACTCTGTAAATCTATTCAAGCAATAAATGTGCATTGTACTTAATAAGGAAACTGGGTCTGAAGACGGTGATAAGTTTTTCATTGGCATCACATGATATTCAATAAAGTATAGCTTAACATTCGATGAATTTGAAAAAAAGGTACACAGCTATGACAGGGTCATCAGTAAATACATAGAAAGCAGTAAAACATCAATCAACTCTACGGGCTCACCATAGCCCGTGCTACTTGGAACTTGTTCCGAGTAGCTGAGTCTATAACAACAACAATAATTAACAATTAATAAAATCTTACTGGAGTATAAAGCAATCTAGCCGCGACTTGCAACTTCCATATTGCCTTAAATAAAATTTCTTTATTTAGAAAACTCCTTCCCGGCTTGGTGCCTTCTTATGATAATTACTTACTTAAATAGAAAAAACTTTTATGATAGTTCCCTATGCTATAGTTTCAAAGTACATTCTTATGAATTAAACGAAGCTCTAGGAGCACGCGTCAGATGAGCTGAGGTAAGATAACATCTTTTGCTTGCAGTTTCACTACGTACGTCATTTGACAGCCTTTATGAACCCTAGTCTTAGTTAACAAAAACAATGACGTAAGCAGCCTGTCCTTCCTCACTCGTAACTGTCAGTGATTGTAAGCTGGTTTGGCCACACCCACTAGTGTGGCCCAGCCCCATCCCCTCCGCACCGGCAATCACCCCACCACCACCCATGCCCAAGCGTCCCACCCTGATTGATACCACATCCCTTCCACCCCCCACCCCCCCCTTCTACAAAAGCCGAGCCCAGTTCCACCACTCCCCCCCCCCCCCCTCCCCAACCTTCACTGACGTATCCTGTGACCGTTGATTATCGTGCACCAATTCTTACCAGAGAAGATCCGGGTTTATATATGCTAATATAAAACAAATTATTTGACACCTGCGCAGACGGCTGACAGGTGGTCGCATTTCTGCAGCGGGACTTAAATGACGTTAAAGAAAGCCAGATATATCGTATTTTGTATCTTGGGATAAATGTTCAATTTGGTATAATGACCTTCGATGGGTTGATAGTCTTAAGGTAACCACAGTAGCTTACTGACCAACCAGGAAGTATACTTTAGTCCTGAACATAGTCTGGGACTAAGGTAAACTCTTCATTGTGTGTACACTGCTCCTGGTTGAACAACATAACTCTATTCAGTTAAAATAAGAATTTCCTTAAGAACATTACAGTTACCGTTCTAACATTATGTGCAAAGCTTAACCAAGGCTATTTTTTTTTGTTTATGGAGTGAGTGACGAACGTGGAACTGGCACAAGGAGACCAACCCCATCAGATGTCGCAATAACCCTGACTTTGGTCACATATATTCTCCAGGAGGAAGCTACAGCTGCTTCATCCTCTGTATAAATCGCATGCACTAAAAGGTACACTTCAGAGTCGGCTTTCTCCCACCCATTGCGAATTCACTCCAATACTTATCAATGTTAAAGATTAAAGTACCCTTAGAGATTAAACATCAATTAAGAAAGCAGTGTTAATGACTCTGGTAGTTAATATTTCTTAAGCTTCCCACTGAACCTACAGACAGTCCGTAGAAGCGTTGGTTCAGGAAGACAATGATGATCACGTGTGTACTGACCGAGGAGTCATTTCTCACTGGATATTCATCGAACTTGATTTTATGTCATACAGTTAATTAACGTTTGGTGTTGTTCTTAATGCCTATCTACGGCGGGAGGGGGGGGAGGGAAATGGGGGTTATTAAGACCACCTCAACAAATCACCCTCCAATCAGCAAGTATTCTCTAGTTAGTACACTCTAACTATGAACATAGTCAGGGACTAAAGTAAATATCTGAATTGACCTGTATCCATATTTCGCTTTTAGATAAATGACATGCGCTTTCAATGCGGGTTGTGACTTACAACTAACAACAACAAGCCTACTGTTAACTTGTGAAAACCAGTGTTGAGACCTATGGTATCATTACCAGAGTCCGACCTCCACTGTGTCTTAGTATAGTGTTAGTACATTGAAATTGGAGTGTGAGAAGTCTGTTTACTGGCAGTGTAATTATAAGAAACTTTCCGCTGAGATCTGCTTAAGACCTTTTGTGTCCTCTGTAAATCATTTTTTTGCGCTACCGCTCAGAGGATGAGCATAGGGTGTAAGCTAACTAGCCGCCTCAGGGGGCAACAATCAAAACAATCAATCTCAAGTGTATATTCCCAGTGAAGGCGGAACACTTCTCGATGTATATGTATGTTCTCGATGTTTATATATATATATATATATATATATATGTGTGTTCGTTTGGTTTGGTGTTAATCCACGACTATAGTAAATTCTGTGTGTATATATACCGATAAATTAGCTACACTTCTTTTTCAATTTATATCCGTCTGTGCTTTTGCGTAGGGTTTAAGGCCATTCAACCTCTTAAAGGTTAGGAAGTCCACTACAACCGCTTACTGAACAACCAACAATTATACTTTAACCCTGAACATAGTTCAAGACTAAGGTAAACACTGTATGTGTTCACACAGAAAATTGAAGGCTACACCCTCCGTGATTGTATAATATATATATATATATATATATATATATATATATATATATATATATATATATATATATATATATATATATATATATATATATATATATATATATATATATTATATATATATTTATATTGTAAAAGCCTTGTATAAATTAGCTGCTTAAAACTAAGACTGCAGCCTAGATGAGCGTGGAAGCTTTGCTAGCTGAACAGACAATGAACATTGCACATTAAGGGATAAACACTGAATATTAAATTTTTTAGTGCATATACATACAGTACAACTGACTTTAATCTTCAAGTCTGTGAATAAATTATATACGTTGGTTAAGACCGTGTAGATTGCGGGAATAATTCAACTCGCGAACATTGCGTCAAAAAACCCTCACCACTTATTATATCTACCATCAAAACCTGACAACTACCAAGAACCGACATAAATTTATATAATCCTGGCCATACTAAGATAACCTTGACGACGCCCCTTTGTATGCGGGTAGACACACAATACTGCGGAGTCGAAGGTCGCGACACCCAGTAGTGAAGGGTGTTTAGAGGACGCGATCCAGGACGGCAGAGGGAGGACTATGGGAAAGCGCCAAGCCATTACGACTATATAATAGCACTTGGAAGGGATCAGGATAAGGATTTGCGATTTAGGGAATGGTACCTAGCCACTTGGACGGTCGGGGGATTGAACGCCGACTTGCATGAGGCGAGACCGTCGCTTTACCGTCCAGCTCAAGGGGTTGGGTAGGACGGCAGAGAGAAATATAAGATTAGCTAGGAGGATCTAAGCTTAATGAATAGGACTTTGCATTAGCTACTAGGATCTAAGATTAGTTGCTGGGAACTAAGATTATCTAATAGGAGACTCACGCACTTGAGAAGCTATTTTGAAATGACATTCACATGTTATTGACCCTAAATTATCTATATATAATATTTTTATATTTACATATTAGATTATAATATATTATAATCTATAATATGCACAAATATAATAATATTTGTGTTAGTTGCTTTGTTTATTAGGCTTGAGGCCTTACCACAGGAGTTGACTGCCAGCCGGCAAGTATACTTTAGTCCTCAATATAGTCCAGGATTAAAGTAAACCCCTCAGTGTATATACTGAGGGTGTAAATGGGGTACACCTCTCGGTGTATATAACTACTTGGGTTTACCCTTCCAGCAGAGTTATCCAAGAGGGGGAGACTACTGCTGGCTCTAAAGGTCGTTCAGAGCACGGCCTGCCTCGCTGGGATCAAGGTCTCTGTAATGGTTGACCTTTCCCAATTGCCAAAGTGGCGGCCAGTGAGTATATTTCTTTGTCTCATATTTGGCTTAGTAGTAAATCAAATTAAGCAATTTTATTATTAAATAGAATAAATAATTGAAAGCCATTTACTACTGAGGCAATTTTGTTGGAATTTTAATTTCCACATTTAGAGACACAATAACAATTAAGAAAAGGTAATTTATATTAGCGTAACTTGTTGTATAACATTTCCATGTTAAACTGGTAAAAACAAAATGTAGTTAAAATGCTTCAAATTCTTTGATAATGGCACCTCAATATGCACCCTTATATTCTCTTACTTGAACTGCAAGTCCAGGATACCCAACTACTTTGTACCCATTATACTCTCAAAACCTTACACACCAACTCACCAGTCACCAAGACGACCACGAGGGCTGCCGTCAAGCCCAAGAGCGCAGATTTTGCCAGTGACATGTTGACCGTGCTGTTTCTTCGACTCCCTCCTCTGGTATTCCTTCTAGCAGACGATGCTACGTTGCGCGCGCAGGCTTTCTGAAGGAGTTACTTGGCCTAGGAGATCAGAGGTGGACTGAGCGGCAGAAGTTGACCTGACGGCTGCAGGGAGCTGACTGACTGCTGGAGGGAAGGAGCCGGGATATCAACCTCAAGCAACGTTCCTGGTTTCAAGAGGAAGTTTCACTCGATTTCGTCCTTTTTCCAATTGTAATGTGAAGCGGATGTCAAGAACAAGAAATGTTGTTTATCTATAAAGTTTGGAAGTGACTGTTAACTAATGAGAGTAAACGTTTACAAAAGTGACCCCTTTATCTATCGATCTACAACGAATACAACTCACGCCCCCTTTTTTAAATAACATCACCGAGTTATCTTCACTATACAACAAGGAAGTGCGCCAGCCAGGTCAGCCCTTGTGGGCCAGCAAAAAAAATTGTTAGCACCAAGAAGGGGAGCGTCATCGCCTCGCCCTTGTCTTCCTGGAACACCCACTTGCGATATTTATTCTCTCGAATCTCTAGCAACCAGTCCTGAATGTAATATATCGCAAGACTCTGATGGCCATAAATAACTATTGCGTCTGCGGAGACGTCTAGCGTTGTTTATTTTTTATACGAGTTCTTTTGATATTGTATTAAATAAAGTCTTACTGATAATCACGTCCGTTTCACCTGGCCTGACCCGATGGTATCTTGCGGTTCAACACACGGGGAATCCCACGACGAACCCACGTTAAGAAATTTAATATTATCACGAAGAAAAGTATGGTAATAACAATAATTATAATGGTAATAATTGCTATTGTTTATGTTAGAATAGTATAATAATAATACTAATTCAAATAATACTAAAATCTTTTTAATAGACTAGCGTCTATGCCGAGGACGGAACAGAGATTACCAGAAGAGATGAAATCAGACGTTAATCACATTAATGAAACAAGGCCATTTTAACTGGAAGGCGACGGAGTCGTGTTTACCGTTGCTTCAGAAAAAAATGCAAATTGATAGCTGTCTCACAGAGGCACCATTTATTACACTCTCCTGACACAGGAATAGACAGGAGGACACTGATATACAAAATTAAAACCCATCAATTAGCAGTGTAATTGATGAAAATGCAAATAAACGCTTCAGGCAAATGAACCTGGGGAACTAGCATGTGCGTTGACTTTAGACGAGGGTAGCACATCACCTAGCACATCACGTAGCACATCCCCTAGCACATCACGTAGCACATCCCCTAGCACATCACGTAGCACTTCACCTACTTGCTGAGGGCGGCACAACTCTCCATAACTCACACATCAGATCCATAATGGAGTATTATTTAAAGTTGCTTGACAAATTTCAATCATGCAAATGAATGGTTAATAACGTAAAAAAATATAATTCGGCGAGAAAATACAGAATCTCCGCAACTATGCAGGTAACTATTCAGTTTATTTATATAGTAGGGGGTAGGCGGCTTTGTCCAGGGCTGTCTGCATGCCTGTCTGTCTCCTCTAATATATTTTCGTCTATCTACCGCTTTCTCTGTATATCTATATCTATCTATCTCTATCTTCTCCCTTCATCTTTCCTCTGTTCCACCTCTTCCCTCATCTTACATCTTCACTACATACTATCGTCATAACCATAACCATCTTCATCACTGTAACTTCCCTACTAACTATATTCGTCGCTGAAACCCTAATGAATTCAGTTCATCTTTTCCAATAGATCCTGAAAGTTAGCACTAAACTCTACGGAAATCACATCCCCGATTTCATTTCAGACAATGACAATTGCTTGGGGGGGTGTTGGTTATACCATATATATTTCTTGAAGCATTTAACCTAGGCCTACCCCGACCAGCCTATGTCCGTCATATGCCCCCCAAACCATTCCTTCCCTGTAAATTTAGAGGAGGGTGACCCCTAGCGTCTGGCCGCTGACTCTCATCTAACCTCTCTTCAAACATCTGTCTATCTCTCCCTTCTGCTTACTTCTTTTCCTTCTATCTTTCTATCTCGGAAAATGTAAAACATCTAAGAACTAGACCAGCCACCTTCCACCGATTAAATAGGGGGGGGGGGTGTTAATATTAGGTCTGATCCCCCATCTTAATAGGATCAACCCTGGCCTATGTCCGTCCCATACTCCATGTCATTCACCCTGCAAAATTGGGTGAGGCTAGTACCAAGCGTCTGGCCTTCACTCTCATACAGATATTCAGTCAGCCGGACAGACACACATTCTCTTTTATATAAATAATATATTTTCTACAGATTTACGTCTGTGTCAGGAATTAACAAAAGTGATACACATACACACATACACAGAGGTACACACAGCTGTGCACATGCAGTGGTATACATGCAGTGGTATTCTCTTAAATGTAGACACATAGAGGAACACATAGAAGTATACAGAGGGATGGACAGTGGTACACACAGAGGTATACTCTCAAATGAAAGCGCAGAGGTACACACAGGGGACACAGAGAGGTTTACACAGTAGTTTACAAAGGTGTATACTCTCAGAGGTACACAGATTGGTATACTCAAATAGCTAAGAATTTATATAACAGAAAACTGAGATGAAGCAAGAAAGTGGGTCGAGTTTCTCTCTGGCCATCTATGGGGGAGACTCGTATAAACCTGTTAGAAAGCTCGCTCTGCCAACTAGGTGAGGAGCCCATTCGGCAAGTAAATATACTTGATCAAATTTAAACTACAAATGAAAATAAATAATAAAATAAAAATGCATTTTTGTGTCAAAATTTATTTGGGTCTTTGAAATCAAAATTGACGATAAGATCAATCTGAAGGAGCCACAAGGACAAGAATATGAACTGCGACAACCTTAGGGAAACAGAGGCATCAGGTGGACTGAAACGTGCCCAAACGTATCCGCCCTGCACGGGAATCGAGCATGATACTATTCGGTTGTAAACTCTCTGCGTTGATCTTCTATAGCGCAGATTAATAGACCGTCAGCCAAACACCAAACCCAACGGCATAGATTATCAGAAAATTTTCATCAAAGTAATAAAAGATGATGAAAATAGTAAAGATAGCTATTTAAGAAGTGGAACTGCTATATATCTTATATGATTTGATTTTAAAACAACAGAAACGTGTTTTTTTTGGGGGCGAAGGGGGGCATGTCAGTCCGACTTGGCCTGTTATCAAGGCTGGCAGTGTCTCAACAGGTAGAAATTGAAACAATTTTTTTTTCGCTGCATCTTCATGGGGAATTGTTATAAGTAGATCGATATTGATATACTTGAATGATTACGTAAGTTACTAGAGAGGGCGGTCCAAAGGTCTCTATACATAGGGGGGATAATTAACACATTTAATCAGTATGTAACTTTACTCACAAAATATGTGCTACATAGTTGTCATTACTTTGAAAACAAACACGGATGTGACTCCCACACATCTGTAACGTGGGTTAGCCCACGTTAACACACCTGGTGTTTTTCATCAAAATGCATTTTGAATGTGTTCTTTGAGGTGTTACATGTTTTAGGTGTTAGGTTTTGGGTTTTTAGGTGTTACATGTTACGTAACTTTAATAGATATTACCAACCTACTAAAGTTAGGTGAGGTTGCTAAGTTAGTTTTCGTTAAAAATAAACAAACTACCAATCATACGTGTTAACATGAACATATCTATGAATTCACAAGGAGAAAATTTAGAGAAAAAAAATTATTACTAATGAACAATCTCCAACTAAACAAATATGAGGAGTTCCTGAAATCAGTATTCACGCAAGCACTTGGCCTTAACGTAGATGAGTTACCAGCACCAAACAACACTACCAATCGTATACAGATGGCTCTACCTGCGCTTACAACCAGTTCTCGCACTTGCTTATAGTCAATATTGGCTTATTTAATAAGTGCATATGTGACATACTAATTGATTGTAAATATTTTAGTTTACTTTTAAAAGCTCCATAGAAAACACCGACCTCTCCTAACCTTCTTAGTATGTTAAGATAAGACATCTTATTGCTTCTTATTTACAATTATTACTTAACCTATCAACAGTATAGGTTAAGTAATAATTGTAATTACGAAGCAATAAGATGCTTATATTAACATACTAAGAAGGTTAGGTGAGGTCGGTGTTTTCTATGAAGCTTTTCAAGGTAAACTAAAATATTTACAATCAATTAGTATGTCACATATGCACTTATTAAATAAGCCAATATTGACTAAAAGCAAGTGCGAGAACGGGTTGGCGCTTATGTCCTCGCGCACTCCTGCCACTGAGTTGTTAGAGGAGATTCTACCAGATCTCGAGTGGCACTCACTACCCCAAGTCTACAGAAGGAGCCAACCGGTGGGGACGATATTACCACCTCGACCATCATCCCCAAAGATCAAATACACTCACTGGGATAACGCCACAATAAAAAAAAGAAAAAACGCGTCAGCAGTGCTACATAATGCCTCTAAGAGGGATAGAACCCTTCCCCACCTTCTAGCCGTGACAGCCCCTCATGCTGGGGATTTTTTATTTGCCGGCCCTAACACCGCTTTGAGAACTTGCCTTGACAGTTCACACTGGTACAACCCTTTCTCCTCCACACCGCTGTCCTCGTCCAACACAAGTCTCTGTGACAGTGAAAGGGGACACTAATATGGCCTCCTTGGTCTAATATACTATAGTTCAAGGGGAAAGCATGCCGGACACCAAGATGTGAACAACAGTATGAAAAAGGAGCCTCGTCACGGCCGGATGACTGGTTCAACGATCGTCACGGCCGGATGCCTGGCTCAGCGATTGTCACGGCCGGATGCCTAGCTCAACGATCGTCACGGCCGGATGTTTAACTCAACGATCGCCACGGCCGGATGCCTGGTTTAACGAGAACCGCAACTGTGCAGAACCAATGCCAGACCCAGGTGGGGGTCACCACGATACCCTGGAAGGGCGATGAGAAGGTTGTGTGGGACTACACACGTGCCTCCGCTGGAGCCCTCACCTGTCTCCAGTACCGCAGAACCATAGGGGGACACTGCTGCTATTTTCAGGGAGACCCAGAAAGCTATCATATACCAAGCTGTATTCCAGTGGTACAGCTTTATTCCGGTAGGTACAGTCATTAGTCTTATAGTCTACAAA